ATTATTGGATGAGAAGGGAAAAGAATAAGAAATTTACGTTCCCAAATCTTTAATTTCTACTTGCTACCACAATAACACGTATCTATACTTTCTCTTTTTTTTTTCTTTCTTCTTGGGTAGATAATGATTATCTTTTTGTTTGGTATTTAAAATTGAAAAGGGGAAATTAAATTTGATAGGATTAATATATGCAAAATACCTTGTTTTCTCCTTAAAAAAAAAAAAAGTCCCAATCCCGAAATTCATACAATCAAAATTACTAAATTTCATACAACTTTCGACTTCAATAACTTGGGCCTCGCTCATCTGAATCGACTTTTTCTCGAGCTTAAAATAAATGATTAATTATGATCTATCCAACGAGCCCAATATCCATATATTTATCATTACTCTATCAATATCTAAATATTTGACCCATATAAAAATAAATTTAATATATATACACTTTAATCCCTAACTTTTCCAAAATTTTAAAAAGCATATAGAACAATTAATTCTATTATATAAATATTTTTGGGACTTTACAATCTCCACTCCTTAAATATTTTCGCCCTCAAAAATTACCTTGGCTAATCGAAGAGTCTGGATACTTGTTTTTAAGCTTGTCTTCCCTCTCCTAGGTTGTCTCTTCAAGTCCATAATTTAACCATTGAACCTTGAATAGAAGAACCTCTCTATTTCTTAATTGGTGCACCTTTCTTGGGACTTCTTCATATGACAAGTCTTTTTGTTCATCCAATGCCTGATAACCCACTACATGATTAGGATCATGGACATATTTTCTGAGCATCCGAAACATGAAACACATTATGCACTGCCGCGAGTTCAGGTGGTAAGGAAAGTCGATAAGCCACCGCACCAATCCTTTCAAGAATTTCGAAAGGTAAAGTATATCGTGGTCTTAACATTCCCTTCTCGAAAATCCTACCAAAAAGTTCATCACTATGTGTTCCCATTTCCATTCTGGAATATCCAACGGTTTCAAAAGTTCTGATGGCCTTTGATGTTCTACCTTGAATTGCTGACACACAATACATTTCTCTATGAACAAACCAATTTCTCTCTTCATGTTTCTCCACCAAAATGTATCTCAAATATTTCGATACATTTTCTACTATCGGATGTGTAGCATACGAGGTGGAATGAGCCTCTTCCAATATCTCGTTTCTTATACTTTCAACTTTAGGTACACACAACCTTCATCTAAAAGTCAACGTGTTAGCTGTAGATACTTCAAACCCTATACGCGTGTTTGACCAACATTAGCCTTAATTTTCCGTAGGAATGGATCCTTATACTGTGCTTCCTTGGTTCGGTCCCGAAGAAAAGGTTGGATCATAAATGTTTTTACTCTCCTTGTAGCCTGGTGTGCGCTGTCGCAGGCACCCAAAAGTGATACATTTTTTTTCTTTTTTTAAGTGGATGGAGGGCAGTATTTTCGAGTATTTATTAATATATCTTCACTTGTGGTGGAAGAATACCGTGGTTACAAATGATATCAATAAAATCAATAAATGAGGAAGTACTACTTCCCTTACGGAGAAAGTAAAGAATAATAGGAAAAAAGCAAACAAGGAGTACTACTCCATTACAAAAAGCACAAATGTAAGCAAAAATAAAAGTAAAAGTAAAAGCCAAATACAAATACTTAAACTCTAGTGCTGGACAAACCATATCTGTCGATCTGAACAAGCGCCTTGATATGTCGTGGTAGGTCGGCTGGTTCATATTCCTGGTATCTACGATGATGCCAACCCTCGGTAGCAAGTGCATCTGCAATTTGGTTCCCCTCTCTGAAGATGTGGGAGACCATTAAAATTGGATTTTAACTTGAATTTTAAATTTTGACCCTAAATTAAATTTTATTTTATTTAGAAATTTTATTCTAAGTTAAAATTTTAATTCAATTTAAATTAAAGTTGGGCTCCAATTTAATATTTAACTAAAATTAGATTTTAATTAATTATCCACCATAATATATTCTTGAAATCATAGTTGGACTCTAATTTGACATGTAATTAAAATTTGATTTTAATTGAATTATCTCGCCCTAAAACTTTGGTGTTAGAGTTGGACTTCAATTTGATATTTAATTAATATTTGATTTTAATTAATAAGTTTGTCCCAAATTTTGGAATGTGAATTGGACACTAATTTGGTATTTAATTAAAACTTTATTTTAATTAAAATTTAATTTTAATTAAATAAACCCACAAATTGAATTAATTAATTAACTTGATTGATTAATTATTTAATTGTTCCGATCATTTTGTCTGAATTAGTTTAGATAATCTTAATTGCTAGAGACTTAAAGTATATTTTTATATAATATTAGATACTCTATCAATATGCATTTATGTGATGAATTTATATTTAGTGGATGATTATGGACTCGACCATGTAGATATGTACGATTAGTTTTAATTTTTGTTATTTTAGATCTGCGAGTCCGTTGTAATTATTATGGGCCTGCATGTCTAGTTATTTAGGCATGTGTACCAACTAGTATAGGATACAAGTTATAACTAGACTAATTGAAAATTCAAGAAGAGGAGGAAACCATGGAAATCGTGCATTGCATGAGTCAATGCTATATCCCCTAAGAACTGACTAACTAGTCTTCCCCATAGCTCGGAAAGGCTAAAAAATTTAGTCCATAATCGTCAACAATATTATATGTACGTTCATTTGCATGTTAGATGTATAGTAAAATATTTATAATTATTACGATGAAACATTTGCATGATTAAATCCATCATTAAAATATTAAGTTAGATTTATAATAGTCTTCCATCATTATAGTGAAAAATTTGAGTACTCAATTGATCTCAGTTTGTTGAGTACGCTCAAGGCTGGTATATTATGGACATGTTTAACACTATGAAATATTAGGTATTTCTAAATGATATGTTTAACTTAATTAAAATTTATCTTTCGTTGAGTACACTCGAGGAGATAAATTTTGAGCCGTGTTAAGTTAGCACATAAGATATGTGAAGACAAAGAGTTGTCGCCTAATATTTTGGGAGTAGTATGAAAATACAATTGATAATAGTATTTACCCAAATATTTTATTAAGATTTGTTGAGTATACTAAAGGTCTTAATATAACAAATGAGATCCCAACCCACTGGGAGTCAATTATGGATTCCATAAATTTATGTGAGGATCATAAATAGTGAAAGTATAATTAATTTTATAAAAAACATGTTAAATTAATTGATGAATTTTATATATTATTCTTTTATTTTTCGTTATTTACGTGTATTGAATTATGAGCAATCATATATATTTGAGAAGCATACTGAATGTCAACAACCTTATCAAATTTTCTTAATTAGCACCGCAATCTAAGAATTCTTCGACTTGAGGTCTCATAGTGCCTTATATGAGAGTAATCATTTTTTGGTGATGCTGGATGTTGCTCTGTTAAGAGTCGTTAATACGATATCATTAGGGTAATTCATGAATCATATGAATGTTGTGAATGATCAATAGAGGATTCACCACTCTTAGATAGTAAGAGATTATGGTCCATTTTTTTCAATTAAGTTGATAATGAAATCTTTGACTAATCTATACTCATAAGTCAAAAATGTTTTCGACTTAGATTGATTTAATAGTGGGATAAAAGATTTGATCAATAATCAAGATTGACACATTTTCATATCTCATAATTGATCATATCATATTGAAAAATGGATTATAGTTTCACAGTAAATGAAAAAGTTTGATGTTGTCATACCACGTGCCATTTCACATCACGTGTGTTGCCCGACACATTGCTAGATGTCAATATAGAGACGACGGATGTGAATTGATAATAAATTAAAAGAGATATTTTATTTTATCGACTTTCATTAGATCAAAATAATAATTTACAGCGTTACACATTGTTATCGAAAATCTAATAGGTCACACAAAAATGAGAACTAGAAGAATGATATTTATTAATTAATTGACAACCATTGAACAATTGTTAATTTGTTTGTTTGTGAATATGGCCAAGCTAATTAATTGGATTAATTAAATATTAGATCAGATTAAGTTTAAGAGACAGACTAAACACATTTGGATTTCTATTAATAAGTTATTAGAATTTGAGAATTAATACGAGACAATTATTATCTTGCTAGCACAAGAAAAAAGAAATCTTAATACTCTCATTCTTGTTCCATGAGTTGATTTTTATTATAGGCTAGACAATTGAACAACTGTAGATTGCAAATCGTGATTGTTCTTGTTCAAGGTAAGCAAATGAGTGTGCAATGCTTAACAAAAGTATATTTCATATCACAGTTTCTTTCTAAACACAAAGATCATTCGCGGGAATTTAAGTATTATTTATTTTTTATTTTTCAATGTACATAATTAAGTAAATTTCCAACACAAATAGGGAATTCCCTTTACGTCATTCTCATGCACAAGGCCGAATAAATATTAGTGTCACCCCTGCATGAACCCATTTCTATCTTATTTCCAAAGATTATTCAATGAAAGTATAGCATTTTAGTAATCAGAATAAAAGAATAATTAATCAAACAAAAAGGCAGAGCATATATTAAAGAAATTGTCGATCAATCGTATCCGAATAAGAATGAGAACCCCCGAGGACAGAGCAAGATTGCCAAGGCATTTTTTTCCTAAACATGTTAAGTAAAAACTTGTTTTTACATGAAAATAATAATTTACATGTTTCGCATAGCTTATCATTACTTTTAATACGCTGAAGTAAAGACATTATTTATTTATATACTAACGTAGAAGGAGTGTAGAATTAAGTTAAATATTTTGAAGTTTGACCAACAAAAATATAAATCCACTTACAAGTCAACTTATAAGTGAATATTTTGAGCTTAGCCAAACATCCTCAAAGTTGGGTTTCTCTAGCTCATCACATCAAGAAATTCCACTAACTAAACAGTAGGTTATAAACTTGTATATAATCAAAGCCTTGAACTACTGTAAGTCTCAACTCTCAATACAGAATTTGTTCAGCAATGAAAAGCTTTAAACGGAGTATATATCGTTACCACCACGTTCAAATTGCATATGGTGGATCAAATATTATCATGAAACTAGCCCTTCAGAAAGGACTCAATCCGATTGTTTTTGTGGTTTATCGCCACTTAATAGCTATTCTTGTTTTAAGCCCTTTTGCATATATTTTTGAAAGGTAAGCTCTTAGCCACACACACAGGTTCATCGCCACTTAATAGCTGCAAATTACATAATTAATAGATCATAAATTATTTATTAGTCACAAATCACACAATTAACTAGTAATAGTCACTATTCTCCTCACCCTTCCCCACCATTGCACGTTCGCTTCATTTGCAACTTCAGTGAAACAACAACCCCCCTTACGAGCATTGCCAACACCACTGCCGCTACTTTATCCTCCTCTTCCTCGATACCCATTCCATCTCTACAATCGATGCCAGCATTGACCACTCCCTATTCAGACCATAACCCCACTTCCACCCCTAAACCCCTAACCACCCTACGGTACCAACTAGTCACACCCCAAACGAGACCATCTATTAATATCAAATAATGACAATAGCCTAAGATGAATCCAGATCTATAGTCATCGGACCACCTCCGGACTACCACGTCATGAAAGCTTCTTTGGCCGGGTGTTTAAAATGGTCTATCGAAGTTTGACATGTCTTATACATAGTCACTTAATAGCTATTCTTGTTTTAAACCCTTTTGCATATATTTTTGAAAGGTAAGCTCTTAGCCACACACAAAAGCGCACACGCACGCAATTAATTACAACACATGATGAGTTACTGATTTGATGCATGTAAACTGTATGGCAGGAAATCACGACCATCTCTGTCATTTCGTATGGCAATGAAGATATTCTTGCTTTCATCCATGGGGACGACAGTCCATCTAAATCTCTACTATATCGGTCTTGAATATACTTCCCCGACGGTTGCAAGCGCCTTGAGTAATGTCATTCCCAGTCTGACCACTCTCATAGCTATTGTTCTTGGGTATACATTTTAATTTCTCTAGCAATGAAATGAACAGAGTGGCCAAATAAAGATTTATGTAGCCGGACTCAAATTTATTAAGAAAAAGGCTCAATTTTTGCCATTTTTCGTATATATGAGTCATAATTTTCTTCTAGTTATATACTAACACCGTGTCCTATTCAGGATGGAAATAGTGAAACTTGGCAGTAATAGAGGTAAAGCTAAGCTATTTGGAATACTGGCTTGCATTGGCGGATCACTTATTTTTACCTTTTGGAAAGGAGAGCGCTTATTCACAAGTTTTAAGCAGAAGCCCTTAATCCAGCTGTATGATACTGAAGGTATATTCTATACAATGAATAAAAATGTTAGCTTTTTTACTTCTTCAATACATTATAGCACAACCAAAGTTCTACAGGGGAGTCAAGGAATCATAAGGAAAATTGGGTCAAGGGTGCACTCCTTATACTAATTAGCGATGTAGCTTTGAGTGCATGGCTCATTCTCCAGGTACATGGTTATACAGAAATTTCATCGTATTTATACTTCAAGGGCATGTTCGTACGCAATGCCGGATAGGATTATACTGTAAACAAGATTTCATCTTCTTGTTTCTTAATACTGCCAAGTGGTTACATGTAGCTTCTTTTGTTAAGTTTACACTAATCAATCTCCTGATTGTCGATCACTGAAAACTCACAGGCAACGGTTTACAAGATCTATCCTGCGCTGTTCTCATTAAATGTTTTGATTTGTATTTTTGCCTCTCTACAATCATCAATCTTGGCCATGTTTTGGGCAAGAAATCCACACCTATGGAAGCTAGATTGGAATGTCCAGCTTTTGGCCATTGTATATTGTGTAAGTGTATTTTTTTTTTCTCACATCCCCTCACGTGCTATACTTTTTCGTTTATAACATTTTATTAACCTACTAACAGGGAGTTGTGATATCAGCATTGGTATACTGGCTGCAAACATGGTGTATCAGTAAAAAGGGGCCAGTCTTTGCAGCAATGTTTTGCCCCTTACTCCTTGTTATTGTGGGGATCTTTTCAGCAATTGTTTTTGCAGAGAGACTTTATTTGGGAAGGTAAGAGACACTCTACAACTCTAGTGAGTCTTGGTCGTAGGAGCACAACCAGTTTTTAGGTTGGCCAAGCCTTTTTTGGCATGCAGGCTCGATTTATCTAGGCCTGGCACAGCCGGGGATGTGTCAGACCTAGGGCTCCTACTTTCTCGGCAAAAGTTTTCTCCCTTTGTGTTTTCTTAAGTGGCTCATGTGAGCTGACTCCCATGAGACGCAAGCCTCTAAAGCCAAGCCCAGCACGGCTTGACTCTAATTCCTGGGCCAGCCTAGGTGGCCCATCATGCCTTAACACATCTAGGGGTAGGGGAGATTGTTGCTAATCAACGTGTGAGTGCATCTAACATCAAAACCTAATTAAGGAGCTATTTTCTCTCTGTCACTACTGTTTATCCCAAAAAATAAATCTTAAACTAATATTTGTTCATGGTTTTCGGGGTGGTGGGAAGTTGCAATGAATTCTTCGATCCCAAGGCTGGTAAGCGACAAAGCAGGGCTTCACACCGAACATCTATTGCCAAAAATTCTGCCTTACTTTGTTTCCGTCTTATACTTGCATTCTTTTGTTCAAAATACAAGGTATTAATTATTTTGTTGTTGATTTAAATTTGCCTAGCTTGATAGGAGCACTTCTTATCGTGTTTGGACTATATTGTGTACTCTGGGGGAAGAAGACAGACACTGAAATGCCAAGCACCAGTAGAAGAGGCTATGATGATGATAAAGTCTTAGACATTCCAGTGGATAACTCTACCATGATGGCTCCCATAAAAAAATGAACAGAAGAGATGACAAAACTATTTAAGCGTATAGATACAAATCTTAGAAAAATTCAGAAACAAGTTAAAACAGTGAGCACTTCATGATATCTGTTACTCACCTAGCAAAATGGACACGATTTGATTTTTATTTATTTATTTATTTTATTTTTGCTTAATACAGTCCAGTACTGCATAATCAACTTTAGCAAACATGCCATAATTGTTTTATGCATCATCTTATATTGATACTGTAATGGTACAATATAAAGTAAATCAATTTAGCAAATCTTGGCTAATAATCCCAAAACCTGTTATTCATGCTTTTGATTGACTTTGGATGCCTCACTAATTACTCCGAATACCTGTTATTCGTGCTTTCGATCAACTTAGGATGAGTGTTCCAGTGTGAAAGGGAACCCATCTCCATTTACTCGAGAGAGTTTGCTATATCAATCACAAAACGATATTTCACGTCCTTCTTGATCATCCTCTCTAGAGCATCATTTGCATATTGGATGGGAATTACTTCTATGTTTGGGTAAATCTTGTTGGAAGCACAAAAATCCAGCATTTCTTGTGTTTGCTTTGTTCCACCAGTTACACTTCCTGAAATGGTTTTAGCACCTGAAAGGAACAAATCAACTAAAATTCTTAAAGACGGGGTCTCATCTCAATCGCAAAAAAGAACAAGAGCAAATTACTGATTTACAATAAATAATCAAAAGTTTGATACAATTTCATACCCAAGTTTAAGCTCCCCGGACTGAATTTCACTTCGCTCGGGAACCCTACTAGAACAAGGACACCAGCAGTTTTCAACAAGGACAAATATAAATCAAATGAGATATCTCCAGATGCTGTGTCCAGTATGAAGTCAAATGAATTACACAAAGCCTGATAATCCATCAAGTTCAAATCAACTTTGTTAGTTCCTTAATCACCATTTTCAATCCATCATTTGACTAGTGATTTGATAGGTACACAATGAAAAGCCAAATAAATTGCTCCAAAAACATTGCAGTAGCTTAATTACCTTCATCTGATGTTCGTCGGTGGAGACTACAAAATTGTCTGCTCCAAGAAGAGTTAAAGCTTCTTCTCTCTTGGATACACTTGTGCTAAAAACTGTTACCTTCAATCCAAAAGCCTTCCCAAACTTTACAGCAAGGTGACCTAGTCCACCGAGCCCAATCACCCCAAAAGATTTGCCAGGCTGATTCATGTTATGCCTTATCATGGGAGTGTAAACAGTAATACCAGCACAGAGCAAAGGTGCTGCTAGTTCCGGTGGGTAACTTTTGGGTATCCTGAAGCAATACCTACAGAAAACTCAAGAAATTAATGAAAATCTAATGACTTCTCTTCTTTCTTCGCATTTGCAAAAGCGTTTGCAAGAACAAACTATTCACCTCTCATGGACTACAATGTAACTAGAATATCCTCCCTTAGTGATAGTACCATCCACATCTATCCCATCAAATGTTAAAACTGCTCCCTTAGAGCAATGAACTTCTAATCCATCATCACAATATTGACACTCTCTGCAAGAGTTAACATAAGTTCCAACTCCAACATAGTCACCAACTTTAAAGTGCTGAACATTTGAACCAACCTCTTTAACGATCCCAACAATCTCATGTCTGGTAGGCAGAGGAACCGTAAATAGGTTAGAAATAAGAGTTCAAATGCAAATTGGCATTGATTATCTGCTTCATATAAATTTATGCCTGCTTTTACCCAGGCACTAAAGGATACTTTGAATGTCCCATTTTGTTCCGGGTCCAAGCCACATCAGCATAACAAACTCCACAGTATGCGATGTCTAGTGAAACATCATCGCTCCCCACAGCCCTGTTGAGATGTATAATCCGAGGGGTGAAAAAACTATATAAAAAAAAAAAAAAAAAGAACATAGTTTTGCTTAAAAAGAATGCTGCAATAGAAACCATACTTGTATAGCAAAGAAGTATTTCAAGGTAAAAAATTAAAACTTGAATACACTTATAGTGTTGTTGTCATAAGATGAAACAAAATGGAAGCCGGTAATTGTGGCATAAAGATTTAAAATTTTCAGTCTGCAGTACATTAAGTATTCAAAGTTCACAGAAAATTCAACAAGGAAACAAGACGTTTCCAATTTGTCTCTTTACCCAAGTAAAAGAAACACAAATTCTCCAAATGAGAACATATAGTGGGAGACGGATTATATTGTGCAGGCTGGGCTTCTCCATTGTGGACAAAAAGATACCCATTAATCAAACATAGGCTTGTTTGCTGGAAAGGAAACTATAGACGCATACCTTCGGCTGAATTTGTATGGAGACAGAATTCCAGAAGGATCTCTAGCTGCCCAACCAAGGCATTCCCCATTTGCATTTGCAGTTCCAGAAGTCATATTCACAGATCTACCTATGGCAAATAGAAAAGATACGGATTCAGACAGTGATACAATCCAACTTTAGGAATCTAACAAGGAATATTGGAGCTCAATGAAATATACCAAAGACATACAGAGTTTCCTAAAACATGGATAACACCTTTCAAATGGAAATATATTTATTCAAGCACTGAAAGCTGATCCTCAATACACAATTTAAGACTTTTATTTGTACTCATAGAGCATGTTTGGACATGGTATCGCGCTCTTAATACTGCAGAATTAAGCCAAAAAGGACTTCTTTTGTCTTTTCCGCTACGCCAAACATGCCTATCTTTCTAATATCGCGCTCGTAGTATGCACATAAATCCTATTGATGTTTACATGATTTGGGTACCATCTTCAATAAATACATAACTCCTTTTCAAGATTCATCTTCACCCACTCCTTTATGCGAAAAATAAACGCAGTTCCTAATCCATTCATACTAGATTCTAACAGAACCCGGAAATCAAATCATAGTAGTAATATTTTGACATGGATCAGAACACGATATTCATTATACAGAGTTTTTTGGGGCTTACCCCGAGAGCAAATGCAGATTCCAGTCAGTCAAACTCAACGAAGGGTGTGTTTCCGGGCACCGTTGGTGTGTTTTTCCCTTGTATTTCTATTGGTGGTGATGCGTACAGTTCCTAATCTATCGGCAAATTGAATATGTGTTCTTGTTTTGTCAATAAATATTTGGACTTTGCCCTTGTTTGAACCCCATCTTGTCACAGAATGCATTTTTTATTAATGATTTAGGGAGGACGTGTTTTAAAAAATAAAAAGAAATTTGAATTCGCCTATAATATTATTTTATTAAAAAAAATTGAAAAAGTGAGAAAAATTTATATTTAAAAAAATGAGCATCAAACGAATATCATAATCTTTCCAATGTGAGAGGGTAAAAAATGCCTTTTTGTTTTTTTCACAACATTATCTCAAGTACTTTAGTTTATACTCTCTTATGTTATGTAGCATTATCTATCTCATTGAATTTGAAAACACACATCACATCATTACACATATTCCTTCCACACAGGGGGAATGTCATCGAGGGTGTATACCAAAGTGTACATCTAACATAATTCAAATAATTTTTTTGTAAAAAAAATTTAATTTTTCACTTAAGGATGGATTAATCAAGTGATGCTGCAAATAATATTTTTTATTAGTAAATAACAATTATAACTCTATAGTTCTAATAGTTATTATCATTGTATTCCTAATTATTTCATATAAATACGAGACTTTGGTTCGTAAGAAAACACACAATTATATTTACTTCTTTATGTTCTTCTCTTTTCTCTCTAATTTATAACATGTTATCAGTACGAAAATTCTAACAAATTGAGTTAGCAAAATTTATTTTTATTTATGCTTTCAAATCTTTAGCTAGTTGAGTTAGAAATTTTTTTTTCTTTCAATCAAAGTAAAACAAGAAGTTCTAACCAATTGAGTTTACAAAAAAACTCTTTTAAATTTTAGTATTATCTTAATTTTAAATTGTATAACAAAGAGATATAGTTATTCGATTTGATTATATTGATTTGACTATACCAAGTTATGATAAATAAATATTTACATGAATTTAACTTTTTTCATTCAACATTTTAGTACAATATTTTTGAAGAATATTGTATTATTGTTCTTAAAAAAAAAAATCTAAATCAGTACTCCAGAAAAATATTGTATTATTATTCTTGAAAAGAAATAATATAAATCAATATTCCAAAAAAATATTGTAACATTGCTTAAAAAGAAATATGATATTTATATTATTTTGTTGTTCTTCAAAAAGCACAAATTCGTACATACAATATGTAAAATAATATTGTATTATTACTCTTGAAAATGTCTATTCTTTTTTCATAATATATTATTGAATAGAATTTGTTTCTAATTGTGCTTTAATGAAGAAACACAATTTACAATTCCATTAATATTCATGAAGAATATTATGTAGATTTTGAAAAAATAAAATAAAATAATATTGTATTATTACTCTTGAAAATGTATAATATTTTTTAATACTATATTCTTGAATAGAATTTGTGTATAATTGTGCTTTCATGACGAAACACAATTTACAATTCAATTAATATTCCTAAAGAATATTATGTAGATGATATTACAATTTTCAATATTCCTTTTGAATATTGATTCATTGCTCTTGAAGAAGCAAATATATAATTCCTAAAGAGCTAAAGTTTCAAACTAATAATTCGTTGTTGCCCCTAAAATAACACAACATATAATTAATATTTAGAAGAATATTACTTGCTCATGAATAGCATAAATTATAATTTCAACATTTCAGAAGATTATTAACATATTGCTCTTGAAAAATTAATAGTAAAATACAAAATGTTCTCAAAGTAGGACAAGTCTAGAATTATGTGTAATTTATAAATTAGTGTTTTATCATTAAAGGAAAACATATAACTCATTTTATGTTGACATTGATTATTTAGACTACTCGATTAGTTATTATATGATTATACAATTATTTAATTATCATGCAATCACACATACTATTTTTTAAGATAAAAAGTATTTTCTGGACTTAAAATTAGTAGAAAATAATGTTAATGCAATATTAGGTGCATCGAATATCTTTGAAAGCTCTGAAAGAACTTATATTATTATATATTGACAGTGCACTTTATTCTAATAAATACAGAAGAAATTTGCTTAATTTTAAAGATAGCAATTATAATGGACATCACATTGAGAAGATGTAAGAGAACAATATAGAATATCTTTGCATAACGTCTTTTGTATTTAACCAGAAGCAGATAAAAGAAAAACTTCTGACACTCCCTTCGGCATGTACTATACATGAAAATAATTGAATCAAACATTATCACGAACCCGAAGTTCGTTGACCTAATAGTGACTATATACTACTATGGAAGACTTATATTAATATTTTGGAATGAACGGTGTAAAAATTTGCAGAATCTGGACAAGCTGCACAACTGTGATAAAAATGTTGATATCTCAGTATTTTGTGGTCTGATCGTCATGAAATCTGGACAGGACGTTCACAACTCATTATGCTTCAAATCCAACGGTACATTTGTGAGGAATAGCTATGTGACTTGTAGCAAATTTTTAAGTACTATAAAAATTTTCAAATTTTGCATCTTTGAAGAATATGATATTTGTCCACCATTCAAGATTTTCTAAGCTTTCAAATTTAAGTAAGTCTATTCTTTAAAAGTCTTTCAATTTCTATTATATATTATATTTGTGAAATTTAAGATCAGTTAAATACTTTGATTTAATTAGTACTTCTGAATAAGCATAATTAGAAATTGTACTTGTACTAAATGAATATGGTGTTGATGTTTTAGAAGAAACACACCCAAACTTATATAAATGTTCTAAAAAGAATATTATATGCTCTTGAAAAGCATAACATTACAATTTCAATATTTCAAAAGAATATTGATATACTCTTCTACAATAAGAAGAAAAAAATAAAAATACATATTAGTATTCTTGAAGAAAACGTATTTTCTTCTTGAAGAATCTCAAATTTATACATATTAATATTTTAGACAAATATTATGATTAATTTAAGTGCATCAATAATCCTCAAGAATATTGTTCTATTATTTGTAAATAATCATTACCAAGTATATATCAATATTCCAGATGAATATTGTTTTGGTTCCTGTGAATTAGAAGTTCAATTATTGAATGTATTCTTGTTTGCCATGACCAGTTGAACCATCTCTAGATCAATAATGATGCGAAATCAAAAATTCAAATGGACAATCAACGAAAAACCTGAAAATTTTTCAATCCAATGAATTCATATATATTATTTGTTCTCTTTATCAAAAATTGATCATCACTAGCTAAAATAAGAATTGAATTCACTATATTTCAAAGAAATTAATCACAGTGATAAATGAGACCTATCATCCTCCAAGTTGACCACTTAAATTTATTTGTATCTAATAGATTTGATACATATACTAGATGATTGCATGGTATTAGCAACCTAAAATTTGTGAAATTACTATTCAAATTTTAAATTATGAGCATAATTTTCATATTATTCAATAAAGGCAGTGTGTCTTGTTAAAGCTAGTTATCCACATCTCAACATTTTAATAAGTATTAGTTGGGGTGCCGATAAATGGTTTAACACTATTACTTGTTAAACGCCTCCAATTAATTTAATTGAGAACAAACTACTTCCTATTTCTATTTAGGAAATGTTATTACGCATCATTCCAACATCATGTTCTCCCTATTATAATTAACTTATGGTCAGAGTCTAATTTTTTCATCTAATTATTTTGACAGTGCAGCATATGTAAGATTGATCCACCTCAATGCACTGAGTTTGAAAGTAAAGAATGCTGGGAATAAATAAGTAGTTTAAAGCCTTATACAATACCTTAAGCCCTAACAGATAATATTTTATAAAGCAATTTGTTAATAGTCAATTTGATTGGACAATTCTCCCAGTATTGGGAGAAGAATTAAAAAGTTGGAAATAATGTATAAATGCATCATTATCTAAATTCTCGCAAAAGATAATTCGAACCAGAGGTTCGAAAGATAATTTTTTTAGATATATTTATTGACCAAAGAGATTAACAATATCTCACACGTGAGTTTTAAATGCTCTAACTCGAATTAACATCTTGTAGAACAATTAGTTAATATTATATTTGATAAATGTATAGCACGCCTGAAGTGTGATGATGTTCGATTCTAATATAAAAATCTCGAAACGAAAAATGGAGCAATTAGCAAAGATTGTCCCCATTAAGAAGGTACATACTCTTAATGAGTATTTATACACAACAAACTATAAAATTCAAAAGAGGTTCAGGTACCTGATATGTTGAAAATTGAGATATCTCCATAAGTTATGTCATTTTACAAAAGAAATAGAATCGAAAAAGAAAAAAATTGTTGACAATAGTTTTGTACATTATATATAGCATCATATTATGAATAGCGAGGAATCAAAAATATATTCGTTAAAACACATCGATTGAAGCAAATAATTGGCCAAAATAAATGTACGTAATCTTAACAAATTGAGTTTACTAGAGAAACCTGAAATTTGTAGATCTACATCCAAACACCTAAAGATGTATACTTATGCAAAATGGAAATAAAAAAATTAAAGTCGTAATGTGTAATATACGAGTCTTAGTATAATAACTTTCGCAAATACTTGTATTAATAGATAAATTATCTTGTGGTGAGTGGAATCACAAGTCTTTATCTTGTTAGCCTAACAATGCGTAAAATTTGATATGAATGTAATAAATGTGATTATAGCCAACTTATTTTGTATGGTTTTAATACTGTTTTTGAAAAATTTTATGTCTAAACTATATAATTCAAGTGATATTATCATGAGGGGGAGTAAATACACATTGTATTTTTTTTTTCTTTTGACCAAGGTTTTGTCCCATTAGGTTTTCCTAGCAACTTTTGTAACATACTTAAAAAAAAAATGTACTCTTTTTTCTTCATTAGAATTTTTTTCACAAGCTTTTTTCTAATAAAGTTTTAATGAGACATATTCTTTGTTTAATAAATGTTCATAACTTAAAAGACATTTACCCTCAAAATAATATTATGATATGTATAAGACTTCAGAAGAAATCAACAAGACTTTTTTTCCGAATCATTATATTACTATAACCATTAAAGATTCATAAATATCTCGTATGAAACCGATATTATTTGAAGACTATACAAGTCAATACGAGACATACTTCACCAAAAATTGCAATATTGAATGCATTGATATTAGAATTGAAATCAAGGGAAACATCTCTACTATTTTTCCCTTAATCAAAATTTGTCCCATTGTATTTTTTTGACAAAGTTTTAACGAGACGGAAATTTCGTAATGTGTCATTTAAGGAAGAGTGTTGTAAATGATATATTTATTAGTGAATGATAATTGTACTCATTTAGCCCTAGTAATTATATCATTGGATCTCTAATTTTTTCCTATAAAATATGGGGCTTTGATTCTTAATAAAACACATAATTCTATTTATTTTCTTTTCTCTTTAGTTTATAACACACA